TGTAATAACTCATTTGCATCATTGGAAAGAAACATTATATCTATTGCAATGATTCATCCACTGCTACTTGTTTTTCTATATTCTCTTTTTTTCTATATAACACACATATACGTCTAAGTTTTTGTGCTTTTGTTCTCACCATATGCATAGTCATCTGTTTTCAGGTAAGGAAACATCTGAGAATATTATAAACTTGGTATTAAAATTCTAAAATCAAGAAAGAAGAAAGAGGTGCATGATGTCTTTAAATCAAGCAAGCCACATTACAGTCTATGCATGCAGAAGGCTAATGCTAAATATGAGATTTTGCCGCCGAAAACAATCAAAACTGCACTATGCTGTCCACCACTAGGCTAAAACATTACAATTCCCATTGGAGTGATCATGATCTGCAGTCATGCTACTGAAAAACCATCTGTGAGAATGCTATACATATGCCTGGGCTGAACAATAAATATTTTTTGGTGACATCATGGGTTGCCACGTAAATGCTTTTTGGTGACATGGTGTCTTGCTTCATGAGAACAGCATATGAGCGTATGCACCACATCTGCTCACAAAGTTACGTGATCAGCACGACGATTCATCTGCAAAGTCACATGACAGCCAAAGCAAAGCATTTACATACAGAAAGAAAATAACCCTTTCCTTTTCTCTTTCTCCCTAGCGTAGTGAAGATCTAAACTAGCAACCTAAACCGTCCTCCCACTGTATGGCGCGTATCGCCCAAGTTGCCGAACGCGATTTCAGGAAGTTCGCCAAGTGCCGGTTATCTGAGTATCCCTGCCTCATCAATGCATTCTCATGGCTTATCGGTGGAGATGTACTAAAAAAAAATCAACTGGCAAAATATTAGGTACTGTTCTATTTTATCGGGACCGGATTGACAAATGTATGCATTGTTAGGCTGTATATACATATAAGTATATGTGTATACACATACATTCGTACTTACAATATATGAACACATACATCCATATATACATGCATACATATCTACATTTCTGAATTAGGTCCTGATAAAAACAGTGCCAAATATTATACGCAAATAGATAAATTATGCATTTAATAGACAATACAGTGGCTTTTAAAGCCCTCACCAACCAGTTAAAAATCCTTTACCTACTTCAACGCAGCCTTTTTCTACTCAGATATTTATAGATTTAAAAATTTCCTGTGAGGAGACATCAGCAAATTTTCAACTCTACATTATGTAGCAAGAAGGTTTTCAAATTCTTGCTACATAATGTAGAATTTTATGAAATTAACTAAAACATATGTAATACAGAGTAATGACACATTTCTATATTTTAAAAAGAAATTAAAAGACATTCATAATTGGAGGACATCAAAATCAAAACATACTGATATGGCAACGAAATGAACTGAAATATAAACAGAACTTTAGTTTTAAAAATGTTGTGATACTTCTTTTGTATTGCAGCTTCCAATTTTTAAACATCAAGCTGGGATCAGAAATTATTGCCAAGTTCATGTCTCATGCACACTTTGTTGCTGCCTTACTTCCTCAATTGCTTTTAATATGGCATAATAGGGCATTCTAAGGTCTCAAAGATTTTTACTATATTAACTCTGCAAAGTACGATATATGATGATAGTTGAAACGTGCCTCTTCAATTTTTATTCCACCACTTAGCGGAGCTCCACAGTGTTTCTATATTTTATATATGAGCAGCTGTTGTTAGATCAAGAAAATGAAATTTATATTCCACAGAAAAATATCTCTTAAGCTGGTATGTACAAGTTCCTGTCTTTTGTATTCTCACCAGAAGTTTGAACAAATTGTCACTCCCTCTTGTAGAGGGTTGACAACTTTTGGCATGAGTGTGGATGGCTCTCTATTTAGAAACTGAACGAGAAAGAATTTTTCAGTTTTTTGGCATAACTTGTCATACATACATGTATATTGTAAAAGAATCATGCCAGTTTTGGTTTTTTGTTGTATGAACAGATTTTCCGCTGTGTTCAAAATGTTTTCAGGGCCACCTATTCACATATTTGGTTGGTGGATCATATGCAGAGAATACATCTCTCTCGTAAAATTGTTTCAGTGAATAGTCAAATTTTTGTAGGGTTTCTTTCATTTTATGCTGTTACAAACAGTATTCTGAAGCCACTAAACCAGCTGTTAAATCATATACTTTTCTTTCATTTGCAAATTTTCAAGCTGTACCTCTAAATGCTTTCACTGATGTGAAATTTTATTTAATGTCCATTTTTGCATATTGGAATGTGATGTAAAATATGCGCATTTCTTGAAAGAAATATATAGCAAGCATCTTCCTTACTTCTCAGTAAATTAAGAATTTTAAGATTAAAGCATAAATAAAATTTATTAACATGTAGAATACTGAGAGCTCTTCTTGTGATGAGAGAATTCTGAGTGATTATAAATTATTAGCATTTGCATGGTAAGAAATATGATAACATGGTTTCCTCGAAGGTCTTCTTATTACAAGCAAACTGTAAATCATCATTGTTGGGGCTGCCAGATGTTTCAGAATAGTTTACATTGGCGATTTATCAAAAATCTTGACACCTTTAAAAACAGGTTCCATAATAATAAGAAAGAAACAATATCACATCCTTACCAAGCTTGATTTAATTTATTTGATTATAGCACGTAAGGGCTATTAACCTAAAACAATGGATGTATTTGTGAAGGACTTTCTGGGGGAAACTGGCTCTTATATATACTAGAAAAGCCTGGAACCCATTTTTGAAGTCATTTTTAAGCTTTAAATTAATATTAGCTTTCTATGAAATTACCTTGGCAGCTCCCCAAGGGCTCATTCATATTAAAATTTGAGTGTATTTCACAGGATAAAAATTTGTTATTTAAATTTAGTGTGGGTGCAATATATTTTTCAAAACTATTCAGAACAAACTTATATACACATTAAAAATTCTGAACATGCAAAAACCATAAAAAAAAATCTTCCAGTAGATCTTTAGTTTAAATATACTGCATGATAGTTTTTCTATCCAAAGATTATGTAAATAATTCTATATTTAAACCAGATTCCTTTCAGATATAGAATAAAATAATACAAGTTTCTCACATTTATTACAAAATGTTCGTAATTTAAAATTCATTAATTACTCATTTGAATAATATATAGAGAAACAAATAATAATTTTTTTTTCTAATACAATGATGAAATTAAAGCACAAAACATTATTTATTAGATGAAATGTATTGCAAATATTAACAGAATTAATTTAAAACTGAAATCTCATATATTTCTTAGCGATTTAAAATAAACACACGAATATATTGTAAACTTATACATGCTAAAATGTTAATATTTGGTATGTATTTAGTTAGCATCTGTAGTATTTTCAGAAAAATTTTCTTTACTTCTGAAACTCAAATCGCACAAAAATGTTTCAATTTATGCGCAGAAATTTACTGAGCGTAAGGGGCGTATCTTTGACGTGACATCATCTTACACGTGTTTCGAATGTCACGTGATCTCCCTGCGCGTTTGGGGATTTAGCGCTGACCCAGAATTTAAGGTACTTTTCGTTTCACCGGCGCAAATCTCGTCAAGCAGAGTTTGTTGACGACAATATACAGTATACACATTAAAAATGTTAACAAATGTTAATTCTAAGAATTTTTCATTTTGAAGGCATAAACATTTTAATATGGTTTAAAAATTTGTAAAACGCCAAAAAATTTATAAAAAAGACATTAATTTAAGAATTTACTATGCTTTCATGGTTAAATATCCTGATTGGATGGTTCGTATCACGTGACCCCCAAGTGATCTCATCTCACGTAAACTACGCTACAAAAATCTAATTCTCTCAGTAATTATCTACATTAACATTTTCAAGTTAAATCTTAATTTGGAATACAAGTTTAAATGCAAGAATTATTTCATTTTGTATGAATAGCTTACTCAGAAATTATGTAAAACCACAGTGCTTTACTTCACTAGTGAATTCTCATTAAAATTGATGAACTTAACCCTTGATTTCGCTTTTTCTATATTTTCGGGTGAGCGGTGTGATTGCATTCTAAGTGACTTAATTACCGCGAATGGTCTTTGGGCATAAAATTTAACTACTTGTAAAAATTCTATGTAATTGTATGCCAATATTGCAAGAAACAATCTATCTGATAAGAAATGACTGGGACTTGTTTTGGTAATAAGGCGTAAAAGGTTACCAGCGAAGATATTCCGTTTGGCATCGGTTGTGCCATTGTTGGCGACTTTATCGTTTGCGCCGGGAAAACGGAAAAATACCGAATTTAACTAATTGAATATAAAAATGCCAAGAACCATATGAATTCACAGCATTTTAATTAGGAAAATGCAAAAGCGGACCGATGCTGTGACGCTGTAAAGATTAAAAAAGAATGATAATACTAAACATGTAATTTGCATATTATACTTTCACGTAATTTCTTCATATCGGATTGCTTATGTTCAGAATGCTGACGATATACCATATGATATAATATTAGTGTTGATACAACCATATTATAAACATTTTTATTGGCTTATTATCTTCTCAATTTAGTTTGTTGTTGCAGAAACCATTACTTTCCAGCACCGCTATTGGAATTTTAATAATATGAGGAATGCTATTTCAAACTTTTTCAATAGTTATAATGCAAAGGTTTATTCGTAGTTGAATGTAAAAATCTCAGCCAAGTTTCGATAGTTTTATGCTGCATGAGGTTTTTTACATATCTAATGCAAATACGGCTTAGTTTTCCTTAAAATGCTCTCTACGAAATTTTATCCCTGTTATGTATTATATTACATTTTATGAGTCGCATTTTTGCCAAACTTTATTTCGTAATCTGCCCATCTTGTCCACTATTGTGACGTTGTGACTGCTGATTACATTTGCGTGAAGTGAATTACTGAATTGTTATCGTTCTTTTATTTCGGTCTTTTAACCTAAATTACAGAACAATAATATGAAATAAAGTAATATTTCATGTAAAAAAAATAACTTACTGTTTACAAATGTGCCATAATATTTTTTAACCAGAGAAGTTGCGTTATTCCATAATCCCGTATGGTTTTTCTTTCCTGTAATGCACAAAAATATTAAATAGCAGCTTAATTAATTTTTAATTAATTTAATTTTTTTCCTTTTTTCCCTATGGGAAAAAAGGAATGAATTCATTAATTTTTTTAATTTTTTCCCTATGGGTTTTACGCCTCTTTTTCCTGAAATACTGTTATTAACATTGGTATTAAAAAAGATAGTAACATATATGAAGATTACCTCTTTTACATAATAATGTGTACGCATTACTATTATTCATCTTTTTGAAGTTTTCTTCTTGTTTGAATAAAATTTATCGGCACTATTCCGTTTTGAGGACCGTAAAAAGTGACCAAACTATTGTTGATGCCAGTGCTGCCAAAAATAATTGCGGCAACCCTAACGCGAGAAAGGACGTATAATAGTACATAACTATCTAGAGATTATTGTTTTAATTTATGTGAAAGGTTAATTTCATATACTCTTTTATTATTATAATTTATATAAAAAAGGCTAAACATAACTGACTGGAAGCATAAGAGTAAATAACTACACTCATGTCCATAAATTAAGGATAATGCAAAATCAGGCAAAGGAAGAGTTAGAAGCAAAGCAAATTTCACTTATTGTAAAGCTTATTTATTAAACAAAAGGTGAAGAGCAAAAAAAGATACTATATGTTTGATATTATTAAAAAAATTAGCGATTTTTTCTCCCTGGAGCAAATTACAAAAAAAAAAAAAAAAAAAAAAAAAAAAAAAAAAAACCAATATTACATTGTTGGTGTGATTGTTAATACATTGTATGTCTCCCAGACGATGGAATACAGTCCGTACAACGCCTAGGCATGCTGAGTATCAAATTATCGATCGGATCTTAGGGTATATTACACCACTCAAAAAGCAATGCTCTCCGAAGTTCCACTAGACATGTAGGAGGAGGTTGACGGGCTGTAACTCGTCGGCCAGGCATGTCCCACACGTGCTGTACTGAATTCAAGTCCGGTGAGAATGCTGGCCAGTCCATACGGGTGATATCCTCCGACTGAAGGCATTCGCTTACGATGTTTGCACGGTGAGGACGGGCGTTGTCATCCATAAACACAAATTGAGTGCCCATGGCGCCCCGAAACAAAAGTACATGTTGTTCCAGAATGACGTCCCGATAGATTTGGCTTGTCATGGTTCCAATTTGAACATGCAGGTCAGTTCTGGAACCCAGAATAATTCCACCCCAAACGAGCACTCCTGCACCACCGTAACGGTGTCGTTGAATGATGTTTTCTTGTTGGTAACGGGTACCTGGAGCTCTCCATTGAAAGTCCGGCGAGAATCAGATTGCAAGCTAAACCTGGACTCGTCGGAAAACATCACAGAAGCCCACTGTTGCGGTGTCCACAATTCATGCTCTCTACTCCAGGCTAACCGCAGGCGACAGTGAGTTGCAGTAAGTGAAACGCATCTGACAGGTCTACGAGCATATACAGCAATCTGCTCTAAGCGTCTGTACACGATCTTGAAATTGTCGTACCAGTGGCTGAAGAGAGCTGACGAGACAAGTCTTAGGCTGTGCTCCGTCTGTTTCGTTTGGCAGTAACTGCCAAATACCGGTCCTCATTCGGCGTTGTAACTCTAGGGCGACCTGTGCTGTAACGTCTACTCACATTACCATCATCTTGGAATCGTTGCCAAAGCCTGGAGATGACACTCTGGGCAATGCCAAGTTCGTCTGATACTTCCAGTTGGGTACGCTCACATTCCAGACGGCTGATAATTCTACCACGTAAAAAATCATCCAAATGCGTCCTTTGTGTCATAACTATTCGGTTATTGCACTGAAATACTTATAAAGCGCCTGCGAACAATTTTACTTTTTTGCCTGTATTCCTTATATATCACTCTCTTAAAACTCTCGTCATTGTGACGCACCATCGGTGTCATCTGGTTACTTCCTGAAATTTGCATATGATTCTTGAAGATGTGTGTAGTGATTATCCTTAATTTATGGACATGAGTGTATTTCAGATCATTATTATAATTTATATAAAAAAGGCTAAACATAACTGAATGGATTCCTGCATCGCTATTTCGCTACCGAGTTATCGCTAAAGCATAATTTCATCTCGTTGGTTGTTCAAACATAATTTTCTATAATGAATGAGGCCTTTTCTTTGAAAAGATTCTATTCCAGACTTTTCGTCATGGGCAATTCCCAAATTTTTAAATCCATAGGATATCAAAAAAGGATTTAAAAATTAAACTAGTATTTCAATGGCGTCTTAAGAAGTATAAAACTATCTAAACTTACGCAATTTGAAATCAGCCTTGTACGCTATATTTGGCGTGCTGTTAAAAGGGCGCGTTTGCTAGATTTGGCGCTTTTACGCATACATTTTCGCTGAAATTTTTACGGTCCTCAAAAGGGAATAGTACCAATTTATCTTTCTACAAATTTCTCTTTGCAGAAGTTATTAATGGACAAATGTAAGTCGAACGCAGCTGTGAAAGCATCCATAACTTCGTACGGAAAGACGGTCTTTCCTTTTGGTTAAATTAGAAATGTAATAGAATGAAAATCTTCCAAGCATTCTTTTTTAAAACATTAATTTTAGATCATTAAATTAAATGGATATAGTTATTAGAACGGGCTTGTGAAATAATGATAGTATAACAAATAATATTAAATATTAAAAAAATGATAAAAGAAAATTTGAAAGGATTCAGATTTTAACAGTTTCCCAAAAGGGATTCTTAAGGTTTTTGTTTGCTCTCACTGAGTGTGCAGTTAACCAGTATACTGTTACACTCACTTCTAATTCATTTGTTTTGTCTTTTTAGCTTTATTATTAAGCATCTTTTTTTTATCGCATTTACCCCATACACAATTCAGCGTCAAAATTACAAATACTTTAAATACAGCATAGCAGTATACGTTTAGAATTTCCGTAATATCAATGTTCAATTCTCTTACTAAAACAGCTTTATAAAACTTTTTTTTGTGTGTTTTTATTATTAACATCTTGGGTGTTTTCTTTATTTATTTAATATCCCGTTCTTTGGACTTATGTCTCATAAAATTCATAGCAAAATCATAAAATACTTAGAAACATCATACTTGTAAGATTTCCGATAAACAGACTCACGCGCTGGAGATGAAAATATTTTATTCCGTACAGTGTTGCCACTGCTCGCTTTGGAATCGTTTAGTTTGTTAATCAAAAATCCATTAAAGTTTAACAAAATAGGAAATAGATAAAAAAAATTTCAAGATTTGGGTTCCCAGATGCCCATATTCGGGTGAAGGGCTATGATATTCAAAATTTGATGGCTCTAGGTATCTTTTTTTCGCAATGCGAGAAACATATTTAATTTATTCAAATATAACTCAGGGCGATAATATTTGGTGGCAAAAATTGTAAAAGTGATACGAAGTTAACAGTGATTCAAGGCAAAATGACGTCAATCTTGCAGATTCATTTGCTCCTGACGAAGAGAGACCTCTATCTGTTTTCCCTCGAAATCGATTGAGAGCTTGACTGAATCTACTCCAAAGCTGTTGCGTTTCTAATGCTACGTTTCACTTGCCTTGTATCTCTTCGGTTTTGATTTCAGCACCTTAACCTAGAATAAGCTCAGCTTCCAGTGCCACTTTCTGCAGTTTCAGAAGCTGTAAACGCAAACAGCGCAATGTCGTAAATTTTAAATTATGCAAAGCGATGTTCAGTTTAATAATAAAAGAATAAAAAGGTAATTTGTGATTATATTGAAATTGAAAATAAAATAAGCTTTAGTGCGCAGAATTAGGTTTCATAATTTTTTTTTTAGGGGAGTGGATAAATTTTTAAGACCAGTACTAACTACCAATAACCAAAAGATAGTAAATTTTTCATGTTTCAAGAATTTAAGGATAAAATCATTTAATAATTAGCTAAGAAGATGTTTATTCATTCGAGAGATATGTTTACTATTATTTTTTAAATCTTACCGGTGATATCACTTGCACTCCCTTCTTGAGGAAAACCTGGTACAAGCAGAATCCAGAAAATACTCGAAAGCAAGAAAAACAGAGTACATTTCCTGATCAGCTGCATTTTCTAAAAATAAGTAAGAAATTGCAAACTAAAAAACATAAAAACGAAGAAAATCTGAAAGGTTTCAGATTTTAAATTACGTCCAAAGCGGCGTTTTTTTTTTTAACATTTTATCTGTTACCTTTGTTTATTAAATATCACGTTCTTCGCACTTAAACCATAAAATTCATTTCAACAGCAATATCGCAGAATAGTTTTAAAATGAGCATATCTTTAGAATTTCCGATTCACAGTCTGTACAATGTTGCCATTGCTCGCTTTGAAATTCTTGAGTTTGTAAATCAAAATTTCGTTAAAGATTTACAAAATGTGAAATAGATCATAACACAAATTCCAAATTTCAAATTTCAGCTTCCACATGCCCATATTCGCAGTAGGATTACGTCATTCAAAATTCGATGGCTATATGTACCGTTATTTTATCACAATGCGAGAAATATGCATACATTTATGCAGATTTTTCATTATTTCATTTCTTCAAATATAATGCAGGACTCTAACATTTGGTGGCAACAGTTTGAAAAGTCAAACGGACATTCATAGTGAACCAACGCAAAATCGCAAAACGAAAACAATAGTCCTTCAGGGACAAAGTTCCTTTGGACTAATACTAATACCCAATTCATGCATTAGGCGACTTGTATATAATACAAGCAAAGTGAGAAATCAGCATTACACAGAATACAGGAGCGGTTAACTAGATTTTAAACAATTGAATTACACGTACAGCAGTAATTGATAAATGAAAAGAACCAGAAATTTTCCAAGATACACGCTATAAATGTTCTGCAGGTGACCCAACGGTCATGCGACATTATATGTCTAAGGGTAGCCTAGTTGTAGGATTTCTCATGGTAACACTTATGCATTCTCTTGAACTCTCTCATTATTCTTTATTTCGGTGATTGATTCTCCCAGAAGATTATTTTTAATATTTAATTTTGAAGTACAGTGTTTGTTTTTAAAAGTTTTACTGTTTAATATTTGCAGGAGGTTAAGCTGTTATTTGTGGGAGAATGTTGGATTTCAGATGACGTGAATTGATGAGTTTATAATTTATAAATATTTTCGTTTAATTTTGTTTAGTTAATGGTTTCCTGGGTCAATTAATTATTGGTCCAAAGGGGCAATTTGCCCTGAAGGACTATTAATTTCGTTTTGGCTTTTTGCTTTGAAAACTTTAAAATGCTTTCAAATTGTTGACACCATATATTATCGCTCTGTCTTATATTTAAAGAAATTAAATAATGAAGAATCTGTATAAATGTATGTTTCTCGCGTTGTGATAAAACAACGGTATCTAAAGCCATCAAAATTTGAATAACGTAACCTTCCATAGAATATGGACATGTGGAAGCCCTAATTTGAAAATAATTTTTTTTATTATCAATTTCAGATTTTGTAACACTTCAACGAATTTATTTAAAAACTAAACGATTTCAAAGCGAGCAATGACAACACTCTACGGAGAGATCGGAGATCATCTTTCGTTAAGTGGTGTTCGACAGGAAGGCCTTTACCACTACATGTTTATCTTTCCCCTAAGGACATGTAAAAGTTCGTTAAATTCCATAAAAATGGAAAAATCATGTGCACTTATAATAAAAGTGCAAAGTCTTCAGTAGTGAAGAAGTTGATCAGGCGTGGCGCTATTTATCGGCCACGGATGATGTCTTCGTTGGATAAGCAATAAGAGCAATTAGATATTGTCAGGCACAACTTTGGTATAACTTTTCGCAATGGCATATCTATTACACATTAACGTAGATTTGGCACAGTGTCGTATAGTAAAAATAGAAAATAATCTATACAAGTCCCAGAAATTTTTGTGCTTTCGTCTGAGGCGAAAGTACCTATATCTTAATACTCATAGGGTGAAGTAGACTGTCACGTGATATACGAATTTAAAAATGAATAAAATCAGTAGCCTTGGTACCGGGCAGACTCCATAATAAGATGAAAATGATGATAAAGATGAAACAAAATCTAAATTAAATTGTTGAAAATAATAAAATATATACAAAAACTACCATCTAACATTATGATGTATAGTTCTGGGCCGTTTATGCAGCTGTTCGATTAGACATGTACACTATGTTTTTAATAACTTCGTGAGTGGAGGAATCCCATTTTTCGTAGAATTTGAATGTAATATTTAGTAATTCGGCATCTAATGGTAAAATCTCTAGCAAATTATGGATGACAGTGTTCCTAACGAACTACGGAGAGTTCGATAGGAATCTGAGAGTTTTACTCTGAAAACTTTGAAGCTTTGCTCAGTTTGAACTTGCAGTAGCTGCCCACGCCGGAGCGGCATATAGGGTCGGATTGCCTGTAGATAGAGTGATCTTTTAGTGTTGACATCTAACTTCAAATATTTGCATATTAATGGGTAAATGCTCATTAAGGCACGTTGCGATTTGTCTCTGATATAATTAACATGAAATTTGAAAGTTAACTTTTGGTCGAGATAAACACATAAATATTTTACTTGGTGGTCACCTGACACGATTTATCCGTTCAGCGTAATTTCTTCTAAGCCTTGAGGGATATTTAATTTTTTAAAGTAAATCACTTTTGGTTTTTCGAGGTTAATTCTTATTTTCCATCCTTTAAACCAGGGTGAAATGTAATCAGTGGCATTCTGTAGTTTATTTCTTGCATGGTATGGATTAAGTGAGTGACATAAAAGTGCCGTGTCGTCAGCATAGCACGCAGTGAGAATATTTTCAATATTAGGAAGATCATTGATATATAAATTAGAGAAAAGTGGGGAAATTACCGACCCCTGTGGTAAACCCGCGTGAATTTATGTTGTGGTCGAATAGTTATCTTGAATTTTAACTTGAAAAGTTCTGTTCTTTAAAAAATCAGCGATTAGATGGAGGACGGCAGGTGGAAAATTATAGTTCATCAGCTTGATGATAAGACCGCGATGCCAAACTTTATCGAAGGCTTTCTCTATGCAAAGTTTCTCTATGTCCATAAAAATAGCAGCAATTGCTTCCTTTTTATTAAAATTTTCACCTATGAATTCCACGATTCAGGCGATCTGCTGAGTCGTTGAGAATCTCTGGTGGAATCCGAATTGATGGTCTTTGGTGATGTTATTTTAATTAATCAAAGTGGTGAGTTGAGACTCGAAAAGCCTTTCGAAAAGTTTGGCAATCGCAGGCAGAAGACTAATCGGTCTAAAGTTACTTGTGAGATTTCCAGCTTTGCCAGGCTTTTTAATGACAGTTAGAATGGCGTGTTTCCAACTTTTGGGGAATGTATTCAGACTTAAACATGCGTTAAAATATGTGTAATAAGGACGATGCTTTTCCCTGGGAGATATTGCAGGGCCTTATTAGTGATATTGTTATATCCAGATGCTTTCTTTGGATTAAGTTTCTTTATAATTTTCTGTATTTCTTTGGGAGAAGTCGGTTTATTTTGATTTTCAGGATCTTTGCAGAGGAAATCGGTCACGTGACTAATAATATTGATATCATTCGGATGCGGGAAATTATTTAAAGTAAACTGTTGTTCAGAATTATCAGCGAAGAGATTGAGAATTTTCTTATGATCGTAAATTTGAGTATTATAATCATCTAGAATAGGTCCAATATTGGAGGGAGTGGCTTCAGAGAGCTTTAGCAACTTTCCACACAGAGTGGTCGGTGTGCGAAAGACTTTCAGTGAAGTTATCCCAGCAACTGTTTCTGTACTCTTGGATAGGTTTTCTGAGGTTTCGATTATCAGCATTATATCTTGTTTTGTCTTGGGTGGAGTGGGAACGTTGATAAATTTTTCTTAGTCTATTTTTCTCTGTGATTTTCTATCTAATATTGTGTGGGAGCGTATAATTCGTCTGTTTTGGAATAAATTTGGCGTGGTTGATGATTTCGTTTGTTTTAGTGCTAAGATAGAATGTGGCATCATGAATTTTGCTGATATTAGTCATTTTAATGGTAACAGATATGTTTTCTTCAAACTGTAAGCATAGTTTTCCCAATTAATGCGACAATCTATATGTAAGACTATATGCTTTAAAGCCATATAAAGTGAAGCGTACTGGTAGGTGATCTGAAGAAAGTTCATTATCCACTTGGAGAAAAGGTGTTTGAGGAACATTCAAGGTAATTATGATGTCTAATAATACATCAGAAGTATTAGAGATTTGATGAAGATGCGTTGGTTAGTCTGGACCAAAAATGTTGATATCAGGGTTTTAGATGATGTAATTATTAAGGATAACGTGGGATAATTTCACAATTTCACTCCACGTGGGGAAAAAAAAAAAAAAAAAAAAAAAAAAAAAAAAAAAAAAAAAAAAAAAACACCGCTTTTTATCTCTAGCGCGCGGAACTGTGTATCGGAAATTCTACAGATATGCTCATTTTAAAATGAGTTTGCGACATTGCTGTTGAACTGAATTTTATGGTTTAAGTGCAAAGAACATGATATTTAATAAATAAAGGTAACACTCAAAACGTTAAAAAAACGCCCCTTTGGAAGTAATTTAAAATCTGAATCTCTTCAGATTTTTTAAATTTATTTTTTAAAATTTATTTATTTCATTTTTGGTTTCGTTTCTTGCATGTGGCAGTCGAAAGATGTGGAATGTTTAAAGTTTTGAAAGAAAGTTGTTTAATGTGTTGAATTCTACAACGATAGTAACTTGTATATTTTAGTGAGTTTATGATGCATCCGTTGTTAGTGAATTTGAATATATTTACTTGGTTGACAATTTTAGAGTCCGAGGAATGTGTTATATAATTTATTATTTTATTATTTTATTATTCACTATACTATTTTATCATGAATTACATAGATAGGATTATGTTTTTAGCTGCAAAGCTGGTGAACTTTGTTTTAGTATTTTATCATCTCATTTTACTATTCTGTTTATGTAAATTAACGGCTTTTCACTTCTGCAAAACTTAAAAGTTACTATTCTGTTTACGTTTAAAAATCACATCTTAGTGCTCTCATTACCGCCAACTTACCTCGCTTATGGA